GGTTGCGAATATGTATATCCTTTTACGCGGAAAACGTAATTAAGCGTTTCGTAATTGGTATTTAGAGGGCGATCGTTAAGTCGATTGGCAGCGGCTCGCGCAGAGGCAGAACGTACGACCGAGGTCAGAATCGACGAGGTGTGGGAGAAAGAGGCCCACGTGTGATTAGTGTCAACGAGTCGGTGAAAGGAAATTTCTAATTGCATACGTGCCACACGATCGTCGAACAGAAAAGATTCGCTCTTCGTGCACTCGAATCGACCGCGACACCGCGTGGGAAGAGCCACGTGGGTTTCCGGCACGAGACGAGCAAAATTTCGAATGGAACGAACGCGGAAAAATTTCTACGAGCAAATTTTGTTTTTTTGTCTGTTATCGAGCCGCGTGATTTTTCTGTCGCGAGTACGGTGCAAAGATCGTTCCTTTTTCAGTACCCCGGGCGACCTGGACTGTGGAACGCTAATCCGGTCGCGCATTTGTTCGAATTAAAGGCCTCCGAATCGAGTGGGACCGGAATTGGATTAGGAAGGTGCGTTTGTCCGTATTGAAACGAATGCCTCGTGCTCGTATTCGGCCAGCCACCGCTATTTTCGACCGGCTCTATCTGCTAAACCTTTGGGATGGAATGCAGCTCTTGTACAATCACGCGCAACTTTGAGCCGCGACATGTTCGTCGCGCTAGCTTGTTGCTTTGCTCCGCGCTGCGGAATCGGTTGTACACCGACTCGTTTAAATTCAAATTAACCAGCTGGTTATGCCGTATGTTGATTATTGGTTCTTGTCCGGATCGCGCTTGTCAGCGGTTTTCAAAGTATCGGGTATCTTGTTTGGAATAAATTAACAATGAGAGGCGACAAGACCCGCGGTTAAGCGCACGAGCAATCCTTTTTTACTTTCGGTATTTTTCCGTCGCTCGAAACTAGCTAAAGATTCATTGGGAAACGATCGTTCGACTCGTTATGCAGGGGATGAAATCGTACAAAATATGGTAATTCAAAAGCAAGCGTTTCGACGATCATCGGTGAAGAAACATTCTGAATTGAACCAAATTGGGATTAAAAAGAATTTAATATGATATTTTATTTCTGTTTATTTCACAAGATAAAGGCAAGTACCATACAGGGTGTTCAGCCACCCTAATGGGAGATTCTAGAGGCCAAAATAAGACGAAAATCAAGAATATCAATTCGTTGATTGTGACTTCCTTAAAATGTTATTAAAAAATTAAATTAAAAAATTTCAAATCATTCTAAAAAAATTATTTTCGGTTGCGGGGGTCGATTACAATCATTTTTGGTGAATATACACACCCTCGAAATCCTACCCACTTTCGAGAAAAAAATTCAATAAGTGCCTTTTATTGGCGAAAATGAAAAGCTTCAAATCATTCTGGAAAAATTATTTTCGATTGCGAGGGTCGATTACAATCATTTTTGGTGAATACACATACCTCCGAATTCCTACCCACTTTCGAGAAAAAAATTCAGGAAAATGGAAAATTTCGACGAAATTAAAAAATTTCAAATCGTTCTGGGAAAATTATTTTCGGCTGAAGGGGTCAATTACAATCATTTTTTGTGAATACACATACCTCCGAATTCCTACGCAGTTTCGAGAAAAAAATTCAGGTAAATGGACAAAATTAAAAAATTTCAAATCGTTCTGGGAAAATTATTTTCGGTAGAAGGGGTCAATTACAATCATTTTTGGTGAATATACACACCTTCGAAATCCTACGCAGTTTTGAGAAAAAAATTCTTTACCGAAAATATACTGTGTGGTCGGCAATGTTTCTATAACTTTTTAACGAAGCTTCAATCAACAAGTTAGTATCTTTGATTTTCGTCTTATTTTGGCCTCCAGAATCTCAGGGGTGGCCGAACACCCTGTATAAGGTACATAAGAGATTCAATTTGCTCAGAAAAATTCCTGAAATTGCCCACGTAGGCGCGAAAAAGAGAAGCGAAGCCGGAAGAGAACGCTTCGAGGTTGAATAAATCTACATTACCCAGAAGCAGACGCATAATTATCGGTTAACCAGCTGTATGTGGCGATCCTAAGCCAAGCTTTCGTATGGGATGGAGTTGCTCCATTACGACGGAATAGAGAAAAAATTGTTTCTTCGTAGAAACACGCGTCGGAGAATAATCTGTGTCTCGCGTCGAACATCCGTATTATTATATCATTCCAATCGAAAGAGGCAAATGTCGGGGTTTGCCAACCTGACGGAAGATTTCAGTCTGCACGCGGATGTCATTACCAGTATCGTTGTTCAACACAATACCGATGGATCTTTGTATCGCGCAAACGACGATAACCATAGGTTTGCCTTTGCGAAATCGACGATCGACCGCCACACGCGCGTTTATGCGTATTTAACAAAAGACTACTATAAAGTTACAGACGGTAGCGGGTTTCTAAACGCGTCGATCCCTTATAATCTCGAGGTAAATGGATCCCCGTGGATCTTGATACAGACATCTTTCTCCTCTTTTTTGTGAAAAAAGAAAAAAACGTCGGATGAAGTCGGCTTAGAGGGGCCCCGCGTCACGCGAGGCTGGTATTTTCGTCCAGGCGATCAAATTATGTCAAAAGTAATTACTCGGTGCCATTTTGAGTACAGTTGTCGCGCGATCTTACTCGGTCGCGGAGGTTATAAAGGTAACCGTTAAACCGGAAATGAAATAAGTGGCAATAAATTATTCGACATTCATGACTCGTCCCAATTGCGTCACTCCTACTAAGGGAATTGCTATTATGGAATAGTTTAAATAGACTCTGACTTCCTGATTACTAAAATTTCCAATTAATGTTCAAGAATAAATTTTCAAACGAACGAAGGTTTATTTTAAAGATCCAAAGATGCTCCAATGTTTTGAGTGGCAGTAAAATTCGTACATGCTTCGTGGCGAACGAACACCGTTTCGAGTACCCCCAGTGACGTAAGAATCGTTGTTTTATTCCTGTATTTCAAATCGAATAATCTTGTACTACAGGTCGTTAAAATCGTCTTAAGACTAAAGACCGCCATTCCGCTAATTATAAAGACCAAATAGCGTGCCATTTAGCAAAGTAGGGATGACCTTAGAATGTTCGAAAAATCTCCCATCCATAAAAAAATGATCGCCGGAATGTTAACGATCCATCTGTACCGTACAACCTCTGCGAACGAAGCTTTTACGTAACCCCGAAAATAACGGTGGTAATTAAGCCGATCGAAACTATCGACCCACCCTGTATAGTACACTGGTCGTGCCACGTCGAACAAAATTCAGCACAGCTGTTTTACGACCTAACCCTGAACTTATTAAGCCTAACTTAAAAATAAGACGGACGTCATAATGCTGCTAAGTACGCGAGGGAAGGGACAAAAGAAGAGTTATGAGAAACGGGAGAGAATAAAACAACGCGAGCACCGCGATTAAAAGAAGTGAAAGAATCTGAGGAACGTATATCGAAGGGATAGGGTTGAGGTAGTGGAGGGGGGACAAAAAAAAATAAAACTTGAAATATGGAAGCGCTGTGAAAGGGTCTGGGAGAGATTTGAACGCGGTCTAGAAATTGAAGCGTCCATAGAAAATTAAAAGCGCTCGCCACCAGAGGGACACTCTTCTCACAAGTACTCGACTGATCACACATTTGTACATATACACTGCTCTTCCTGTAACAGCAGGCCACCACATAGAAGTTTTAGTGAGAAGAATAATTGTAATGGAAACAAGAGGTGGAGGTTCATTGAAAAAGAAATATTGCGTTTAAAATAGAGAAGATAATGGGCAACGTCTACAGTAGTCAAAGAAGGAAGCAACTGGGTATTGAGCAAGAGTTAAGGTAGCTGAGAAGAATGACAGACAAGTGGAATTCAATACCGCGAGCCTACAATAGGAGACAAGATAAACGTAGTTTTTCTCCGAGCCGGTAGCAAAAGAAGTTCCAGAATTAATTATGTCATTCCAGATCGATGATCTTACGGAACGAGCAATGGCTCGTTAAATACCCGTGACTACTGCTTCTGCTAGTTGTCAGAGCGACAGGTACGTCTGGTAATCGCTTAAGAACATTGCGGGGCCCGCGTCTCTCGCCGATGCCTCGAATATCAAAGTTCCGGCGTGATCGGCTCACGCAACGGGCGATGCATTAATCGTCGCTCAGTGACAAACGAGGCAAATCCGTCGACGTGCCCCGTCGAATCGCGCCTCCAAGAATTAATAACTGTCGGCCGTATAATCGTTAATGGCCGTTATTATTAATAACGGGGCCGGTAACGTCCAATATCCGCCGCTGCGAAACGGTAAATTACAGAGTGCACGTTTCCTCGCGGTCCACGGTTTCTCGCGGTACTCGGAAACGTGACTGCCTCGCAACAGTTGCACACGAATGCGTTAAAAGTTACTCGCGCCGCTTGCGTTCCCGCCATTAATCGATCGAAAAAACTATGATCGATCTGACCCTACGTCCGAGTACCTATCATCGGGTTTAACAGCATGCAATCCTTCTCCTGTTTTCAGTTTCAGCATGCCACGTATAGAATCTATGGCGTTCAGATGTGATAAACAAAAGAATTAATATAGTTAAAATAACTAATTTGTTTATGATTTTGAAAATAAATATTGTGCGATCGCGTTGGCGTTTTCTACCGCGTGATCGTAGTTTGTGTACCTCTCCAAGTCTTCTACAGTCTATCGTTACACGGCTCCTGCGTAATTGCTCCGCAATTATCCCACGTTCGCCCGTCTAATCACACACATCAACGTCCATATCGGACACTGACGCCACAAGATTGACTACAAAATCACGTATCAATTACACCGAGTGTGTCACCACATACGTGGAGACACGCGCGACATAGTAACATAGTTTGATCCGTTACAAGCAAACCCATAAATTTTCCGTTAGAAAGCGGCGGTACGAGTGTCGATAGGGCAACAAAAAACGAACGAAGAGCGTCGAGAATGGCGAGTAACGACGGGATCAAGCACTTTGCAAGTTCAAATCCTTACCTGCCGGAGAGTGGCTTGCAAGCTAAATATGCAAATGAATGTGACGCCTCGGTCTCGCGCCGTTTTTTATTAACGTTTCCACCTTGGAACCTGAAAACATAACACTTTGGAATTAAAATTATAGCGAAAATTAATTTGGCGATTGAAATAATTTAATATCACCTCACGTTCTGAGATTCGAATCTTTCGAACGTCGAAGTAATTCGATTCGTTAGCATATATCGAAACGACAAGTGTCATAAACGGGGCGTGAAATATTCAACGGCGGGAAATTCGGGCAAGAAATTATTATTGGCCGCGCGATATGCAAATAACGCGATGAAAAACACGATGGATCGGCGCGGTTCGTTTACGCGTTTCGGTCGGTGAATAAAACAACGCGATCGTAAAGTGTAGGTTGCCGCGCGGCGAAACGGACCGTGCTCGAGTATCGATGACTTATTAATAATTTACGCGGTCGCGGTCGATTCGATCGCCGGACACCGACCGCTCGAAAATGTCACTAAGACCGGCTGAAATATAGTTTTCGCGCGGGCACGGTAGTCAGGGGCCACGCGTTCAATATTTATGCCACAATAACGCCCAACCAGTAATGTCCTTTTTCGATAACCCGTAACACTGTTATCGGGAGACCGGCGGTACAGTTACGGGGCCGCTACGGCATATCTTAAGCTACCAGCGAGATTATCGTCACGGTGCTCTGGGTCGATTTAAGACCGCCTTTTTCAAACTATGCGCGCAAATCTCGAAACCGCACCGACGCGTTTATCCGTTCGAAAGTGCAGAATTCGAACTACGAGCACACCAGCGATAGAAAGTAAACGCGATAGATCGTGTTTCAGTAGTAACTGACGCTGTTCGAGCCAATTAAAAATCTCTTTCTCTTTCTCTCTTCTACTTTGGTACGATTTTTATTCGAAAACTGAAGCCAATTTCACTTTCAATTTGCACGCAACTCTTTAATCGAGTTCTCTAAGATCTAACCCAGGATAGTTAAATTGATTAAATCACTGATCAATGTAGGATATAAATAAAGAACAATGCAAGAAAATAAAATACTCCAAAATCCACAGTGAATTACCACGTTACTTTTAGGAGCATATGCAAATTTAGAAACAATTATTTCATCCTGTATAACTGATTGAGTCTTCAAAGAACGAATGTACTCATGTAACAGAGAACTGAATTTAACTTGTATATTTTTGTAATTTATATAAATCGCATGACTTGTGGATACAGGCAATAGAAAGGGAGTCGAACGTCCAGTCTCATCAACGGTGGAAAGTTTAATAAGAAAAATTATTCCTACTCTCGGCTAACAAATGTTATAATGTCAATTGGTTCGTACGATTTTTATTCGAAAACTGAAGTCAATTTCACTTTCAATTTGCACGCAACTTTTTAATCGAGTTCTCCAAGATCTAACCCAGGATAGTTAAATTGATTAAATCACTGATCAATATAGGATATAAATAAAGAACGATGCAAGAAAATAAAATACTCCAAAATCCACAGAGAATTACCACGTTACTTTTAGGAGAATATGCAAATTTAGAAACAATTATTTCATCCTGTATAAATGATTAAGTCTTCAAAGAACGAATGAAATCCATGTAACAGAGAACTGAATTTAACTTCTATATATTCTTGTAATTTATATAAATTGCATGACTTGAGGATACATGCAATAGAAAGAGAGTGGAACGTCCAGTCTCATCAACGGTGGAAAGTTTAATAAGAAAAATTATTCCCACTCTCGGCTAACAAATGCTATAATGTCAATTGGTTCGTACGATTTTTATTCGAAAACTGAAGCCAATTTCACTTTCAATTTGCACGCAACTTTTTAATCGAGTTCTCCAAGATCTAACCCAGGATAGTTAAATTGATTAAATCACTGATCAATATAGGACATAAATAAAACTCGATGCAAGAAAATAAAATACGCCAAAATCCACAGTGAATTACCACGTTACTTTTAGGAGAATATGCAAATTTAGAAACAATTATTTCATCCTGTATAAATGATTAAGTCTTCAAAGAACGAATGAAATCCATGTAACAGAGAACTGAATTTAACTTCTATATATTCTTGTAATTTATATAAATCGCATGACTTGCGGATACAGGCAATAGAAAGGGAGTCGAACGTCCAGTCTCATCAACGGTGGAAAGTTTAATAAGAAAAATTGTTCCCACTCTCGGGTAACAAATGTTATAATGTCAATTCCGGTACGAAGCCCCATTAGATTCCAGAAGGTACACGTGTGGAGTGAGTCTATTAAGAAATCATCGTTACTAAAAGCGTTCGATGACTCACTGGCAAACAAGCATTTTGCCGCGAGAACTTGTCCGACACTCTGCAATGCATCGATTATTCTATGTCTTATCACGCGAATACATTAGGCACGCCGCGAGTTTACGGCTCCCTAACGTTTGTTCCAGGTTTAGTTAATCCAGTAACGCAAAGAGAAGGAAATGAGGGCAAAGGCTACGATATGCTAATCAGATTACGGGCAGGCGCGGTTATGCGAAAATCATAAGACAAGCGAAAGACAACTATCCGCGGCCAGTATCGCAAACTTCCAAAGCAACGCGACCGCATTCTGATATTAATGCGATCCGATTCTTTTCGCCGCCGCTTTCTACGTTTCAATTCGATCCCGATAATCGTCGACTCGTATTTCCGTTCGATTATTTCGTACCTCGAAAGGAACATTACGCGCTCGCCATTATCAAAATCGGGGCTACGCGATTTCGCATGTCGTTCAGCGTTAATTAATACGTCCAGAAATATTCGCCGGTCTTCGAAGCGTAAGTATTAATAACTGTCCGTTGCGACAGGCTTGTTCTCCACGTGGTGGGCGTGCCACGTGTACTTACAGTCCGTATAACGACGTTACTCGATTAATTACTTGCACTATTACGCCTTGCTTAATCCGCGGGCGCAACTGGGACACCGATTGATTAGTCACGATGACACAAATTCTTTGGAACGTGCTAAGCAATAAAGAATGACAAACAACCTTATGCGAACCGTTCGACCGGTGCAAGACATTTTAATTCGAGAGCCTGATGAAGTTTTAACCAACGATTAATACCGTTACTATCGTGAGAAGGCGGTTTATAAGGCGGCAAGACTGATTTCGAGGAGACTAGCATCGCGAACATCGCTTAGAACGCGAGGAGGATTTTTGACAAATTATAGACAAGCTGAAGGTGCTTTGAGAGAGGCACCCGAGATAAATGCGTGTCCATTGAATGTTTTAATATTTTTAATTGGTAAATAATGACGGGAATCATTTTGTGAGTTGTATTTCATAGACGCCCATACATTATTCCAAGCACGTACCGTTTAATAACGAATTAATCGTTCCTCCGCGATAATCGCTGAGTCAAACTTGTATGCACTACGCAGAAACGGAATTTTCAACACGTTTCGAACTAAACGATGCTTCTTTTATTTTCTAAACAAAAAAAAAAACCCATCGTATCCCCCTTAAACATTCCCGTGAAAAATTAAACACACTTCGAATAATGGGTTTCAAGATACATGTTTATTGCCCGTTATATATCTAACCCGCGGACACTTAACACTTTGTACACCGCACGAGTAGCATTATTAGCCACTAGTGACAATTACTAATTGCAGTAACCCTGACGTCGCATGATGAATCGATGTTCCGCGCGCGGAGATAAATTCGCTTGAACTTGCGTTACGAAATTGTCGCGGCGCGGGTCGTTTCTCTAATTTCGCCGCGTTGATCCCGACGGTAAAAATTTCCGATTTACCTTTCGGATTCCGCGACTTTCTCCGCGCGATATTACTTTTCCTTTTATCGTCGTTGCCATTATTGTCAGTAAACGAACCGTTAACCCGGCCCCGCCGACGCGACGCTCGGCCGCAATTTTAATTGCCACTCCTACGACTTCCTTATCTTATCTCCAGCGGCGGAGTTTCTTTCAGAAACTGGTACACGAGCCGAACCTCCGCTTTTTGCAACGCGTTCCACCGGTGTCGCACATCGACGCCTCCGCGCGTGGGCGTCCACGGAACACCGAGTACGTATCTATCTCGGCCGATTTCCCTCGACAACCCGTGATCTACCGCGAAGAAGGAAACCGGTGCTTTTTTCAAACCACCCGCCATCCCGATAATACGCTTATCGAGACGATGAGGGCACTCGAACGTGTAAAGCCAGATCAATTCGTGATTTAATAAGAGTAACAAGATTCCAGAGAAATTGGGAGGAATTAATATCTGGATAACTTCCTACGTTGTCTGCCGTGGGGGTCACCGGTGGCCGGCACTCGACTTGGTTTCAGCGCCGTGGGGGTCACCGGTGACCAGCGACGCGACCAATAATAAAAATACGCGGCGCCATGGGCATAACCACGCAAAATGCGCGCGGCAGTCAACGTGTTAAATTTGTCTGTAACGTCCAAGTCAAAATTTAAAAAAGATTCTATATTTTTGGGTGCGATACTGGCACTATCGACTTCGTAATAACACCATTTATCTTCTATTTTTTAAATTCTCTATTTCCTACTTCCACCTGTTTCCTCCCCCTCATCATCTCCTTTTCCCGCAACCCTAACCTTACCTCTCATAGAAGATAATTTTGGCCATTTTCCTATCCGTGCGATGAAATTCTCAGCGCGCGAAGGCGTGAGAGATCGTTAAGATCCTCTGTATCGGGCCGTTCCGCAGACAATAGGTCGGTGGCGAGCGCCTAAGTAATTGAAATCGAGTCGAACGGGCACGAATCGAAACGGTTTCGCTTTTGAAACGCGGTCGCGCGCCCGGGACGGGTCGACGTTAATTAAGAAAATTTGCATGATCGTAATCGCGGCTCGTTAAGCAAAACGTTTCTTGAGGCGCGCGCGCGCGCGTTCCATCTCCTCGCGGGATAAATCGGTAGCCGTGGAATCGAGAGACGCGGTTCGATTTCGAAAACGTACGGCCGGTCGGGAGTCGTGCGCGATCGAGACGGGGCCCGGCCAGCGTCGATGAATCGATTTCTTTGTCGACGTTCCATGCGCCGATCATGAAAGCGTAATCGCCGAAGCGGAGACAAGCGTACCCC